TTGATTTTTTTATCTAACATAAGAATATTATTTTTGTGGTATGAGAGTATGATGCAGTACTCATCCAGGTAAAACATGCAACATTGTACTGAGGAGCTAAATAGGAAGAGTGTTGCTTCTGCAACTCACAAGCAAGGATTTTTTTCCATGAAGGGAATACTTTCAAGCAAAAAATAAGACTGTGTAATGACAAGACAGGGAACTAATTGTATCTCCAGCAGTGTCTGTCAAAAAAGAATTTTTCTTTGAAAGTCGGAGCTAAAAGGTGTTTTTTTTTCTAAAAAATGTACAAGAGGAATAGAAAGAAATGCTTTTCTGAAACAGCTAGGAATAAGAATAAAAAAACTGGCTTGAAAACAGCCCTCAATAAGCAGAAGTGCCTTTTAAGTGTTGTCATAAAATTTGATTAGATGTAATTAGAACTATTTCATTTTTATATAGGCCTAGGGACAGCACACTGATGACACAAATCAAACAAAAATACCTGTATGATTTGTAAAAGGCATGAAAACAGGCATTAATTATTTTTTATTTCAATATATGTGCACTTCAGATGATACAAAGCCAAAACTGAAAATGCCCATAATTATTAAATTATTCCATTATCTTTCTAGGTACCAAAGCTAAGATGGCTGGCCTATAATTCCCTGAGTTGTTCTTATTCCCCTTTTCATAGATAGCTAATATGTTTGCCCTTTTCTAGGTGTAACCCTTGCCTGCTGTCTGTGGCACTAGAGATGATGAGTGTGTTACAGCTTTGACGAAGAGAGATGTCTTTTCACTCAGATGGGGAGGATCATGCATTAAGTTTAACATGGCCCAAAAGGTCCCCATTGCTGATGCCCCTGGATGGGTCAGCATTTCAAAGTCCCTGGGTATCTCTTCCATAAACCATAATTCCTTAAAGGTAATTGTTAATGGTGCGGATCTCTTCAACTAGTTCCTTAAGAGTTCTAGAGTGTGGTTTTTGTCAGGCTTTGCCACCTTGAAGACACCTACCTTGTCTGAGGTACATCTACACTGCACGTTTATTTCAAAAACATCTAGTCAGTGTGCAGCAGCAGTCATAAAGCAAACAGAACGTTAGGAATCATTAAAAAAGGAATTGAGAATAAGACAGAAAATATCTTATTGCCTCTCTGTAAAACCATGGTACCCCCACATGTTGAATACGGCGTACAGATGTGGTCACCTCATCTCAAAAAATACATATATTACCATTGGAAAAGGTTCAGAAAAGGGCAACCAAAATTATTAGGGGTTTGGAATGGGTCCCATATGAAGAGAGATTAAAAAGATGGGCTTTTCAGCATAGAAAAGAGGAGACTAAGGGAGGATATGATAGGGGTCTATAAAATCATGACTGGTGTGGAAAAAAGTGAATAAGGAAAAATTATTTACTTATTCCCACAATGTAAGAACTAATGAAAATAATAGGCAGCAGGTTTAAAACAAACAAAAGACGTTTTTCTTCACTCAGTGCACAGTCAGCCTCTGGAACTCCTTGCCAGAGAATGTGGTGAAGGCTAGGACTTTAACAGGGTTCAAAAAAGAGAAAGCTAGCCATTGATGGACCTAACCTCCATGAATCTATTAGCCAGGATGTGTAGAAATGGTGTCCCTAGACTGTTTCTCTGGAGGTGTGTGTCAGGGGAAGGATCACATGAGGATTACTTGTTGTGTTCCCTCCCTATGGGGCATCTGATATTGGCCACTGTTGGTAGACAGAATACTGGGCTGAATGGACAGTTGGTCTAACCCAGTATGTCCGTTTTTATGTTCTTATGAAATAAGCTATTCCAGAATAGTTATTCCGAAATAGCTTAATTCGAAAGAGCACATCTACACTGCAGGGAAGCCTCAAAATTAGTTGGAGGCAGGCTTCCTTAATGCAGATATGCTATCTCGATTTAGAGCCCAAGGAGGCACAGGGGAGGAATAACTTAGAATGGCCCTCGTGAGGAGCTATTTCGAAATATCAGCAGTGGAACGTCTACATATGCCTTATTTCGAAATAGCTATTTCTTGAATAGGCATTATTCCTCATAGAATGAGGTTTACAGATTTCGGAATAAGCCATCCATTATTTCAAAATTATTTCACAATAACGGAATGGCTGTGTAGACACTCGCATTGTTATGCTTTATGCTGGGGTAGCCAACCTGTGACTCGCGAGCCACATGCGGCTCTTCAAAGAAAAAATTGTGGTTCCCGCACCCGCAGCTCTTAAAGCGTGTTTGTCTGAAAGAGACAGACAAAGTTGCGGTGGTTTTTTTTTTGCTCAACAACTTTTATCTCTCGGCTCTTTGTGCTGTATCTACCACTATTTTGGCTCTTCATCTGTAACAGGTTGGCCTGTTTTATGCTTTATGCTGATGTTCACTGTATTAATGTCTGATCACTACTAACATTTGGGGGAAAACCAAAACAAAAAAGGCATTTAACACTTTTGCCATTGCTGTTTCCTGTTGTTATCTTCCCTCCTCACTAATATACCTACCTTGTTTTTTGTCTTCCTCTTGTTTTTAGTGTATTTATAAAGTGCTTTCTTGTTACCTTTTGTCTCACTAGGTAGTTTAATTTTTTGTGCCTTAGTCTTTATAATTTTCTCCCTATATGATTGTTTTATTTTTAAAATGTTTATCCTTTGTAATTTGACCAATTTCTGCTTCTTGCATGCCTCTTTTGAATTTCAGATCATTGAAGATTTCCTGGTTAAGCCAGGTGGACTCCTATCATGCTTCCTATTTTTCCTATTTATTAGGATAGTTTGTTGTTGTGCCTTTAATAATGTCTCTTTAAAAAATTGCCAACTGTCCTGAACAGTTTTTTCCCCTTAGTGGATCTTACCTAACAATTATCTCAGTTTGCTACCTTGTTTTCTTGCCATTGTCTTTATTCTGCTATTTTCAGTGGACCTACAAATGCGCTTTAAGGTGAATACATGCATACATTGTTCCTGGGGGTGGGGTTGGTTGTTTGTTTTTGCTGAACTGGGGACTTGCTCTGTGTATATTAGTTTGTTTAAACTCAGATTCAAAATTATAAGTCAGGAAATAAGCTAATTATTTAGTCAAAAAAAGGTCATGTAAGACTCATCTGCCTATACACAACTGTAGCTGACTGGATAATCACGT